GTCAGTAACTTGACCTCACTGTTTTCTTAACCCACTATAAACGAAAATGCTTTGCTGCTCTTCGAGCTGTATGTATCAGCCAGTAGTTAGTGGTGGGGTATGGCCAAGGACAAATTCTTCTCCGATGAGCTAGCTGACTTGCCTTGCGAGACACAGTCATGGTGATTCAGAGAGCGGCAGTGACAGGGGAGAACAAAGAATTGTGGCCACAGACAGTAAAAGTGACAGTAGCTCTGATGATAATGGGGGTAATAATATTGCGGGGACAGTAAAAAATCTAAAAAAATCACAAATCTAAACCCTGATTCAAAATTGAAATACAGAACATTTCTGACGAATGTGGCAAAGGCCTGGGCTACAGACCAGAAGGTGGCGGCAGAACCAGAGTCAGACACAGACTTAGTGCAACTGGGCCCATCAACTCCCAACCCAGGCAGGCCTCACGTGGACCCCCCAGGGCGACTCTCAGGAAACATAACCTCGTGAAAATTGTGAAGAGTGAACATTCCAAGGGGAAGCATCCTTCTAGGCAATGCCGTGTTTGCACAGTTCACAAAAAGAGGTGTATGTCTACATTTGCAAGTTCTGTGTAATGCCACTTCACAAAGGGGAGTGTTTCCAGAAATATCACACCCTCAAGCACTTCTATGAGCATTCATGAGTGTTCTCCAATAATTTTAGTTCATAAAATTAATTAGGAGATTTTATGTTAATTTTTAAAGTGAACAGTGCACAAGTTAGGATAATTGGTTTAATAATCATGGCCCCAGGTTGATTTAAATATTTAAATCGCCGGTCCTTAATGTGTTAATACTTACTTGAGAGTTTTCAACAATAGCTTTCCTGTTCGAAAAATTTTCCTCAATCATACCAATAAAGCTTGGTTAACAGTCGGTATTAGGAATTCGTGTAAACATAAAAGAAATCTTTATATACTATGTAGGAATGTAAAAAGTCCTATATTGCTTGCCTACTATAAAAATATTGTAGAATATTAAGAGAAGTTATAAAAGCCGCTAAAACAATTTATTACAATAAATTGATTGTTGATTCTAATAATAAGACAAAAATAATATGGAATATAGTAAATAATGAGACTGGTATAAATAATAATATTCATGACCCTCTGCCATTAATTAAGGATGGAAAAAGTGTTAATAATAACCAAAATATAGCAAATGGTTTCAATTTATATTTCAATACTATGATGGATAATCGGTTGGACAACTCACATATAACTT